GGGGGGGTACTACCACCCCAACTTGAGTAGGGGTGTGCCGTCAGGACCTCAAAAACCTGACCCCATCTCAGACCTAAAATTTTGATTTGACATACCCTACCCCASACTATAACTAAGAATTGTACACCCTATCCAAAACTAAATGACGGAAATGATGGTTATTCAATGGTAATGATGGTACTACCACCCCAACTTGGGTAGGGGTGTGCCGCCAGGACCTCAAAACCCTGATCCTATCCCAGACCCAAAAATTTGATTTGACATACCCTACCCCAGACTAARACTAAGAATTGTACACCCTGTCCCAGACTAAAGGACGGAAAAGACGGTTTTTAAACAGATTGCAATCAATATTTACTAACGTTTTTATTGTTTTTGTGCCGGCTGAAAGCGTAGCCAATTCGCTAGACAAAAATGACCAAATCGTTAACCCTATCCCAGACTAAGATAATACCCTATCCCAGACAAAATGTCAAAAAATGATACCCTACCCCAGACCCAAAAGCCGAAAAACCATACCCTATAGGGCGGCACATACCCGTATAACAAATATAGGGGAGTACCCCCCGGGATTTATACGCCCAAAGTTACCAGCTCTATTGCCGCGTAGTATTTAACGATATATTTATGTATATGCCTTTCAAGATTAAATAGAGACTGAAACCGTATTTTCCTTTAGGCTCTACTAACCCACGCGCGATTGAAGCCATAATACTGCCGACTGAGTAGCTGTATTAATACTAATGAATATCTGAATTACAATCCTAGAAATCTTCTTTTACTGATCAACAATATTACTTCTAAAGCCCAGAATTACATCCTCAGCTGCTAAGCCAATSTATGAGCCATTTATCTATGAATACGTCATTCAAATCCATATATGGGTACTCTTGCGCAAGATTGCACTTTTTGAGGAAAGGGAGCATACAAGTAGCTTAAGCTTGGTTTCTGTGGTGTCATGTTATAAGGAAATGTATAGGGATTCTTCAAAAATTTGAATGAAATCATTGAAACGTGAAAGAAAGCCTCGAAATTTTACCCGATCATTGAGAAATAACGGCTTCGATTCTTTCGCGCGCTCTGTGTGGTTATTATTTTAATTTAGCCCGTTTTAAGATTTTTTTTACAGGTGGGGGAAAAAAAATCTTAAAACGGGCTAAATCCAAAAAATAACCACACATAATTAAGGCAAATTCATAACCGCTGACCAGAAGTAAAAAATTAACCGCTGACCAGATATGACTCCGTGATGCAAAGCAGTGAAAAGAAGTGTATCTTCCGCCTACCAGAGCGCTCAAATGCAGGGAATCCCTCGCGAAAGCCCTGGTCTGGC